GTGTGATGTGGTGCTGAGAAGAATGTATATTCTGTGGATTTGGGGTGGAGAGTTCTTTAAATGTCTATCAGGTTTGTTTGCTCCAGGTCTGAGTTCAAGCCCTGGGTATCCTTGTTGATTTTCTGTCTGGTTGATCTGTCTAATATTGACAGTGGAGTGTTAATGTCTCCCACTATTATTGTATGGGAGTCTAAGTCTCTTTGTAAGTCATTAAGAACTTGCCTTATGTATCTGGGTGCTCCTGTGTTGGGTCCATATATGTTCAGGATCGTTAGCTCTTCCTGTTGTATCGATCCTTTTACCATTATGTAATGGCCTTCTTTGTCTCTTTTGATCTTTGTTGCTTTAAAGTCTATTTTATCAGAGATGAGAATTGATACTCCTGCTTTTTTTTGCTCTCCATTTTCTTGGTAAATCTTTCTCCATCCCTTTATTTTGAGCCTTTGTGTATCCTTGCATGCGAGATGGGTTTCCTGGATACAGCACACAGATGGGTTTTGGCTTGTTATCCAATTTGCCAGTCTGTGTCTTTTGATTGGTGCATTTAGTCCATTTACATTTAGGGTTAATATTGTTATGTGTGAATTACATACTGCCATTTTGATGCTAAGTGGCTGTTTTGCCTGTTAGTTGTTGTAAATTCTTCAATATGTTGGTGCTCTTTAGCATTTAGTGTGATTTTGGAATGGCTGGTACTGGTTGTTCCTTTCGATGTGTAGTGCCTCTTTTAGGAGCTCTTGTAAAGCAGGCCTGGTGGTGACAAAATCTCTGAGTACTTGCTTGTTCACAAAGGATTTTATTTTTCCTTCACTTCTGAAGCTCGGTTTGGCTGGATATGAAATTCTGGGTTGAAATTTCTTTTCTTTAATAATGTTGAATATTGGCCCTCATTCTATTCTGGCTTGTAGTGTTTCTGCCAAGAGATCTGCTGTGAGTCTGATGGGCTTCCCTTTGTGGGTGACCCGACCTTTCTCTCTGGCTGCCCTTAGTATTTTCTCCTTCATTTCAATCTTGTTGAATCTGACGATTATGTGCCTTGGGGTTGCTCTTTTTGCGGAATATCTTTGTGGTGTTCTCTGTATTTCCTGCATTTGAGTGTTGGCCTGTCTTGCTAGGTGGGGGAAATTTTCCTGGATAATGTCCTGAAGAGTATTTTCCAGCTTGGATTCATTCTCTTTGTCCCCTTCTGGTACACCTATCAAACGTAGGTTAGGTCTTTTCACATAGTCCCACATTTCTTGGAGACTTTGTTCATTCCTTTTTGCGCTTTCTTCTCTAATCTTGGTTTCTCGTTTTATTTCATTGAGTTGGTCTTCGACTTCAGAGATTCTTTCTTCTGCTTCGTCAATGGGCTATTGAAACTTGTGCATGCTTCGCGAAGTTCTCGTATTGTGTTTTTCATCTCCTTTAATTCATTCATATTCCTCTCTAAGTTATCCAGTCTTGTTATCATTTCCTCAAATCTTTTTTAATATTTTTTTTTACGTTCCTTAGTTTCTTTGCATTCAGTTAATACATGTTCTTTTAGCTCACAAAAGTTTCTCATTATTCACCTTCTGAAGTCTAATCCCGTCATTTCGTCACAGTCATTCTCCATCCAGGTTTGCTCCCTTGCTGGTGAGGAGTTTTGGTCCTTTCTAGGAGGCGAGGTGTTCTGGTTTGGGGTGTTTTCCTCCTTTTTTCGCTGGTTTCTTCCCATCTTTGTGGATTTATCTGCTTGTCATCTGCGTATTTGCTGACTTTTCGATTGGGTCTCTGAGTGGACACCCAGATTGTTGATGATGAAGTATTTCTGTTACTTGGTTTTTCTTCTACCAGTCTAATCCTTTCACTGTATGACTGCTGAGGTCCTCTCCAGGCCCTGCTTGTCTGGGGTGCACCTGTAGCAGCTGTGGCACAGTAAGGGATGCTACCAGTTTCTTTTTCTGCTATCTTTGTCCCAGGATGATGCCTGCCAAATGTCATTCTTTTTGATATAGAGGGGTCAGGGAGCTGCTTGAGGAGACAGTCTGTACTTTATATGAGCTCAATTTCTGAGCTGTGAGCTCTGTTGTTCATTCAGGGCTGTTAGGCTGCTATGTTTGATTTTGCTGCAACAGAGCTCATTGAAAAAACCCTTTTTTTCTCAAATGCTCTGTGTTGGGGGGTCGGGCTTTATTTTTGGATGTCCGTTGAGGTGTCCTGCCCAGCTAGGAGGCAGACTAGCCACTGTTTGCCTGCCGAGCCTCTGCCCTGCTGTTGTGTCATTTGCCCTGTTGCTGCAGGCTCTGCTGTTCTGCTGTGGTCTCCGCCATGCCCTGCGGCAGAGCCTCTCTGTTGTAGCGGGTTGCCTCGGCAACGGCAGGCTGCGTCAGCAGTGGGCGTGTATCTCAGTTGGGTTGGGTTGCCTCAGTAATGGTTGATGCCCCTCCCCCACAGAGTGTCTCGGACCATCTGCGCGGGAAGTGTTTTAAATTGCGGTTTTGTTCATCCCACTGGGCTACCCCAAACGCCCTGTCCCTGCAATCCCCTGGGCTGGCCCACTGTCCAAGTCTCATTCAGTCTCAAGTCCAGCCCTCTCAAGTCTCAGGTTGCCAGTTCAACAGGGCACCTGGACAAGTGCATTCTGTGGGGAGCGCTGGGTAGGGCCGGCTGCAGCCACCCCGGCTGCCAGCTTCACCAGGCAGAGGTACTGCCTGGCGTCCCGCATCTCCTTTATACTTGGGAATTTCCCCATTCTGTGGGCAACAAAGATCAGTCTGGAAATGCAGCTCCAACTCACCTCTCCGCAGATTCAACGAGAGCTCCAATCCTGGGTTGTTCTCACAGCACCATCTTGAGTCCTCCCCTTGCTATGAATTTTTAAAATTTGTTTAGTTCACCATTGTGGAAGATAGTGTGGTGATTTCTCAAAGACCTAGAACCAGAGATAGCATTTGACCTAGGAATCCCATTACTGAGTATGTACCCCAAAAACACAAATTACTTTATTATAATGATACATGCACATGTGTGTTCATTGCAGCACTATTCACCACAGCAAAGACATGGAATCAACCCAATGCCAATTAATGATAGACTGGATAAAGAAAATGTGCTGCATATACACTATGGAATACTATGCAGTCATAAAAAGGAATGAGATCGTGTTCTTTGCAGGGACCGGACGGAGCCAGAAGCTATTATCTTCAGCAAACTAAGTCAGCAACAGAAAACCAAGCACTACATGTTCCCACTTATAAATGGGAGCTAAACAATGGGAACACAAGGACACAGGGAGAGGAGCAGCACACACTGAGGCCTGTCAGGGGAGTGTGAGGAGAGGGAGAACATCAGGATAAATAGCTAAAGCCTGCTGGTATTAATACCTAGGTGATGGGTTGATAGGTACAGCAAACCACCATGGCACACATTAACCTATGTAACAAACCTACATAACCTGTACATGTATCCTAGAACCTAAGATAAAATATTTAAAAATTTTTTAAATTTGTGTCTCAGCATTGTTAATATGAACCTTTATTTCCTCACAGTATTTTATGTTGGATTGTAAATAAAAGCATCTTTTAAAAAATATTTTAAGGAAATTTAAATTACTAATGTAGTTAATTTCTGAGTATTTGTTTATATACACAGAAGCAATGTTATTAAAGGTATATTTTCCTGAGAATTTTCATATCACTTTATTCATAATTCTATTTAGACAGGTATTCTAATATATCCTGAAGAATGTATAGTTAGGTCTTTATTTATACATTTTATTTTACATTTCCTAATAAAAACAATAAATAAACCTTATACGATACATTTGCTAATAGCGATTTTTATATTGTGTACTCTTATCCTACTCCAAATGTTGAATAGTTTTTAATTTCTAAATACTTTTTGCATGTGTCATTGATTAGTGAGAACCAGACAGTTCAGAAATAAAGAGCCTCCCTATATTGATCTCTAGTGAAAAATGAACTGGATAATGTATTTATGATTAATTGCTTCAATTCTACTAAAGTTTGATCAATTACCTCTTCCTTGGTAGTACACGGATTAAAATACTGACTGAATTCAAACAGTGATCTCTGATTCCATAACTAAGTTTCTATAAATGAATTCACACTATTTATAGTTGCTTCTATTATCAATTTGGCTACTTGCCTGCTCAATATTGTCATATCTATCAGATTTATCTGACAATAGTGCTACTATTTCCATGGGGGCTTTGGTGTGTGTCATTTCAACCATTGTGGAAGACAGTGTGGCGATTCCTCAAGGATCTAGAACCAGAAATACCATTTGATCCAGCAATCTCATTACAGAGTATATACCCAAGGGATTATCAATCATTTACTATAAAGACACATGCACACATATGTTTACTGCAGCACTATTTACAATAGCAAAGACTTGGAACCAACCCAAATGCCCATCAATGATAGACTTGATAAAGAAAATGTGGCACATACACACCATGGAATAATATGGAGCCATAAAAAATGAATTCATGCCCTTTGTAGGAACATGGATGAAGCTGGAAGCCATCATCCTCAGAAAACTAACATGGGAACAGAAAACCAAACACCGCATGTTCTCACTCATAAGTGGGAATGGAACAATGACATATGGATACAGAAAAGGGAAAATCACACAATGAGGCCTATTGGGGGTGGGGGAGAAGTGGAGGGAGAGCATTAGGACAAATACCTAATGCATGCAGTGCTTAAAATCTAGATGACAGGTTGATAGGTGCAGCAAACCACCATGGCACATGTACACCTATGTAACAAAGTGGCACATTCTGCATGTATATACAAGAACTTAAAGTAAAATAAGATAAGATAAAATAAAATGAAACATTTGATGAATTCTTGCATCTTTAACATCTCTGAAAGTATTTTCTATGGCTCAATGAAAATTTTACAAGTTATTTTTAGCAAGTATGAAAAAGAAAACCACTCTAAAATATTTCTTCTGTAGTCAATGCCACATATATGAGAAAAGATATGGAAACCTCCTGCATTTATTTAACACATTTTTGTCCCAATTTCATTTATTTTATTTTAGGTATTTAAGTTAGTTTTGGAAATAAAAAGATACCAAAGATAAAAGCTCAGTCATTAATACATTTACCAAACCTTGTTGGCATCTGTCTTTGTCACACAGATTTGTTGCTAAAGGTGCTTTAAAACCCAAAGACTACAAAAGCTGTAAGAATGAAAATATTTCACATTAATTTGTATTTTATATTTTTGATATTTCACATTAATTTGTATTTTATATTTTTGTTCAGTTGTAAACTTGAATGTCAATTAAAATTTTTATCTTTGATTACAAAGATTTGGTAAACAGTAAACAGGCCTATAAGTTTGTCTTAATACAACTTAGGATACAACTACTGTCAGTGTGGGGTTTTTTGATAATGATGATGATTATAGTAATTTAAAATAAACCTTCCAATAATTGACAAATGTGAAAATGTCATGAGCTCATTTCTATACGCTTTCAAGTATCCTGCACAAACTGGCAGATCAAACTGCTGTTGCATTATGGGAAATTGGCCGGTTTAGAACTTCAGCTTCTATACCCTGTATCACTGAAAAAAATCAACTTTAATGAATAAATTATTATTGAACTGTGCTATGAGATGGGAACCATAGTAGACACATTCATGTCTGTTTTCATTTTCATCTTCACATCAGCACTAAGAGGTACATATCATTTTATGCATGCTACATATGAGGAAATTAGGGCTTTAATACTTTAAAAAATTCTGGTTTACATGGATTGTAATTCAAAAAGGGATATTTGAACCCAGAATATTAGGCAACTGCTCTTTCTACTGTGTGTAATACAGTGATGAAGCTAATATATCCAATTAACTTGTTATATAGTCATAAATTAAATTCACTCTAATACATCTAACTGATATTCTCTTAAACATGTAGAGAAAGAAATGCATGTAGGTTGACTGCAGATAGCTACAGATGCTCCTCAACTTATGATGGGCTTATGTCTGAATACACCCATTGTAAGTTGAAAATTCTGTAAGTCAAAAATCTATTTAATAAACCTATCCTACTGAACATGATAGCTTAGCCTAGCTTCCCTCAAACATGCCCAGAACACTTACACTGGTCTATAGTTAGGCAAAATTATCTAACACAAAGCATATTTAATAATAAAGTGTTGAATGTAATTTATGGAATGCTGTGCTGAAAGTGAAAAACAAAATTGTTATATGAATTCCCAAAGTATGGTTTGTGCACCATCTTAAAGACAAAAAAAAATGGTAAGGTGAATCATCATAAGTCAGGGACCATCTGTAGTTAAAATAAGCTAAAATTGAAGAGAAACTAGGCAACCACTTTCTAACTCATTCAAAAAGGAAGTATTTTAACCTGATTTTCTATTTTCAAAAATTCACTTCAATGTCTCATGCCTCCTGCTTTCTCCAAGTAAGTCCAGTTCTGACCCAGAGCTTCTGCATGGCTGACTTTACCTCTTTGTTCCGAAGTGTGTAGATGAAGGGGTTTAGCATTGGAGTAATAACCTTGTAGAGTACAGACACCATCTTGTCCACAGAAAATGTAGAGAAAGGATGAGGATAGATGAAACTACAGGGTCCAAAAAAGTGTTACCACCATAAGGTGAGAGGCACATGTGGAGAGTGCCTTTCGCCTTCCCTCCTTGGAGTGAATCTTGACTAGGATAGTGGTGTAGGAGGAAATCAGCACCACAAAGGAGCTGGTGGAGATCAACCCACTGTTAGATACCATGAGCAATTCAATGACAAAAGTGTCAGCACAGGCAAGTTTGATGACAGGGGGAACATCACAAAAAAAGTTGTCCACCTGATTTGGCCCACAAAAGGGCAGACGGATAGTGAGAATGGTCTGGACGGTGGAGTGCACAAATCCTCCCATCCAGGAGGCAGCAACCAACACACAGCATAATCCCCGACTCATGACAGTGGTGTAGTGCAGGGGGTGACAGATAGCAACATAGCGATCGTAGGCCATCACTGTGAGCAGGAACATCTCAGTTGCTCCTACAAAATGCAGGAAGAAGAGTTGTGCAATGCATTGGTCATAGGAAATGAGTTTTTCATGATTAAGGAAGTCAGCCAGAAGCTTAGGGGTAGTTACTGTTGAATAACATAGGTCCAGAAATGAGAGATTGCCAAGAAGGAAATACATGCCTGATGAATTCAGGTATTTATCAGATGCCACTGTGATCATAATGAGAACATTGCCAACCCAAGTGGACACATAGAAGAAAAGAAATAGTACAAATAGTCCTGCTTCGATAGATGATGTCTGTGAGAAGCCTGACAAGAAAAATTCTCTCACCACTACTGTTTGGTTTTCATCCATTTGACCTGGGTCTACCTAGATCAAAGAGATTAAACCATAGGGCATTAGTGACATTTAAAATGAATGAGGTAATTCACATCAAATACAAGACTCTGCTCCTTTCAAAAGAGAGATTTTTTCAACCTCTAAGATAATCCTGATTGATTAGCTGGAAGAAACTATTTTCTCCTTACCTAATATTATGTATATTATTTCACCAGCTGTGACCCTGAGACTGATGAAGTGGCCAACATTAATTAGAAGTTAAATGGCTCCAAGCCACTAACTTCCACATGATGCACTTCTCTCTTCCATCATTCAGCACATTATGTCTCTCTCCTTTCCATATTCAGTATCAAGAAATGTTACATTTTTCTGAAATATTATTTTTTAATAAAAATGTTTAGGAAAAAATAAAATCAAAGGTAGAATTTCAGATTCCAATAAATGAACAGTAGATCTGTAGAGGTTTTATCTGAGAAAAGGGCATCCCTGAACCCTTTGCCATCAAGATAATTCTCACAGGACTCTAACCTGTGCAAATCGCTATAGGAAAGATCACATTCCACCTTGAGATTATTGCTAGTTCATTGACCTCTTACTATATTTTCTTCGGTATGCCTGTCCAGCTTACCATGTTCTATAATACACTTATTTCCAGTTTATTATTGTAATAATATGTTTCTCATCTTAAATCATACTTGTGGGTATACAGGTACACATTATGCTTATAATGATCTAAATAGAATATAATGGTTGTTCATGCATATAAATGACTCTCCTTTGACTAGTCTATCAAATCAAATAAAAACCAACTATTTCTCTGAGATGAAAATAGCAATTTGTATGTTGTATATATTTTATCCATTTTCATGAGCAACAGCTGGAACATGATACTGTATGAAATGAAACGAGTCCACTGAGAACTGACTGCAGGGAGGGGTATTTTGGCATTTCATGATAGTTGTTAGTCACTCAGATTCTATAGCTCAGTTCTGCCATACACAGAGCAACATTTTGAAGACTTAATACATAATAATCAGATAGCAATTTAAAGTTTAAATATTGAATTTTCTTCATCTTATTATAGTTTGCACCACCTCTAATTCTATGAACTCGATACTTTAATTTAGGCCAATCAATGAGAATAAAAATATTAGAAATAAAATTAATTTTAAACTAAATAAAAGTTAGCTTAAAAATAAAATTCATATATTCCTTATTTAAGATACTTATGTAGATATAAAGATTACATCAATTATATGCTAACAGTTAAAAAATATCAAGAAACTATGAGGTAAAACTTCCAAATTTAAATTTTATTTTGTTAAACCGGTATATAAAAATATTAACTTGAAAAAATGGTCATATAATAAAATTAAAAACATGACACAAAACTATACTTAAAATATGATACAATCTATGTACACAGAAAGGTTAAACTATATAAGACACTAGACTACATGTAAAGGCAATAAAAAATTTAAAAAATTTCACCTTAATGATTGAGACTTTCTTCTCACCTATTGAGTTCCTAATTTTCTATGATGAACTTAATTATATTTATGAAAAATAATAAACTTTCTATAAATTTCTGTGGGTATGCGTACCTGTAGAGTTTAGGACATTTTATTTTACATTAAAAAATTTTTTAATGGATTTTTTTCTCTTTCTGCAACTTAATTATTACTTAACATTTTACTTTCAGGTAAGAATTTCACTTAATTATAATCCATTCGGCTTGTTTTGAGAGTAACAGTTGTCTAGATATAACAGTAAATAATCTCAGTTTCAGAATCATAAAAAAAGAAGAAAATAATTATCTTTTCAATTCCCAGAGGCAAAGATTGTTTATTTTGCTAGCCATATACTTTTAAAAGCTTTTTAAAATGCATTGTTTGATTTACACAATATAACATTGCATAGAAAATATTATATTTAAAAAGACCACAATTAGCATTGAATACTAATTCTGCAGGTGAGTCCTGATGAGAGGAGCATGAAGAAAAGCTGTCAGTGTAATAGCTTTTAAGTCAAACTACATACCTCCTTGTCTGGACAGAGTAAATTCTTAGATCCTGCAGTCATGAACTCGTGGCACATTGACAGTATACAACCATCCTAGATATTATAGAACCAAGAAAATTAATGAATTAAAATGGAATCCCCTGGTTACACTGGCCACCGTTAGGAAATTTTGATGTTTAGGGATTTTGAGGTTCAGGTATTCACAGTCAAATCACAAAGGAAATCATTAAAAATTTTTAATCACAACCCTTTGTCATAAATTATGAAACATAAAAATAAGTGTGTTGAATGATAGAGGGTAGAAAGCAATTAATAGATGGGGAAAAGAAGACATGAGAGATATAATAATATCGGCTGGATTTTATAGTGAGGTAAGGGGACCCCCTGGCCCACACGGCTGAGGCTAATGGAAAGGATGCTGGAACATTAAGGAAAATTTGGCTTCAGGTGCCTTGCATTTCTTCTACCAGTACACCTTTGCTTGTACTGCTTTATCTGGAGGACCTTTTCCAATCAGAATTACTGAATTTAGATTCAATTTAATTTTGTTTAATATTACAAAATATCTTAAGTAAAAATAAAAGTTTTCCCCTTTCAGGCCGGGCGCGGTGGCTCACGCCTGTAATCCCAGCACTTTGGGAGGCCGAGGCGGGTGGATCACGAGGTTAAGAGATTGAGACCATCCTGGTCAACATGGTGAAACCCCGTCTCTACTAAAAATACAAAAATTAGCTGGGCATGGTGGTGCGTGCCTGTAATCCCAGCTACTCAGGAGGCTGAGGCAGGAGAATTGCCTGAACCCAGGAGGCGGAGGTTGCGGTGAGCCGAGATCGAGCCATTGCACTCCAGCCTGGGTAACAAGAGCGAAACTCCGTCTCAAAAAAAAAAAAATAGTTTTCACCTTTCTTCTACTTCTGCCTCTATGCCACTGAGAGGAGAAGAGATGGGAGAAGAGAAAGAGAAAGGCTTTCTTCACTACAAGAATACAGTTGTGGATGTGATTTCATGTGCTATATTCAGCTCTAATTGTTATTATTAATTTTTTTTTGAGACGGAGCCTCACTCTGTCCGCATACTGTAGTGCAGTGGCGCAATCTCCGGTCACCGTAACCTCCACCTCCCAGGTTCAAGAGATTCTCCTGCCTCAGCCTTCTGAGAAGCTGGGATTACAGGCCCCTGCCACCACTCAAGGCTCTAGCTCTATTTTTTTAACTGATATATGATATTAAAACCATCAAATATGGTATGCTATAATAAATATTCTATCGAGCATATAGATGATCTACTATTATCTTTATAATGAAAGGTTCTACGGTGAACAATTTGTTCATATTTCTTCAGACTGCTATTCAGTGTTTGTTAGAGGCTGAAAGTAAAATGTCTGAGACAAATGTGGACAGATATTTCTCCCCCCAAAAACTGTAGTACTAATTTATACTTCCATAAGCCATGTATGTGATACTATTTTTACACTCTTTCTTACACTAAACATCATTTTTCAATTTTAATTATAATTTTTCAAATATGATGTGTAATGATAGTACATTTTACTTTGCATTTGCCTCAGCAGTACTGTGAATGAACATCTTTTCAGATTTTTATTAGTCACACATCTTCTTTTAATTCTATAAATTGCATGTTCGTTTGTCACTTTCAGTTCTTAGTGTTTATCATATATTCTTTATTAATGTATGAAAGTTCTCTAGACTTCAAAGATATTAGACAATGCAAGTGTTTGAAATATTTACTGCAATGCTGAATTTACAGCTGATTGAATTTTTGCTTATGTAAACTTCCAGCCAGTTGGAGACAGAACATTAGCAATGCCTCAGCCAGGAACAATGGCTCATGCCTGTAATCCCAGCACTTTGGGAGGCCAAAGTGGGTGAATCGCCTGAGGTCAGGAGTCTGAGACCAGTCTGGCTAACATAGTGAAACCCTGTCTCTACTAAAAATATTAAAAAATTAGCAGAGCATGGTGGCGCACACCTGTAGTCCCAGCTATTCGGGAGGCTGAGGCAGGAGAATCGCTTCAACCCAGAAGGTGGAGGTTACAGTAAGCTGAACTGGTGCCACTGCACTCCAGCCTGGGCAACAGAGAGAGACTCCATCTCAAAAAAAAGTGAAACAAACAAACAAACAAACAAACCCAAAAAACAATGCCTCCGATGACTTCTTCACTCCTCATCCCAACAGTAACGCCTAAAGCTATCCTCTTTTATAATCTTTATTGCCTTTAATTTTGCCTAGGTTTGAATTTTGTATAAATGAGATTACAAAATACATACTCTATGTGAGTTGATTACTTTGACATTATGACTGAAATTTAATCTAGTTATTGTGTGTATCATTGTTTGTATATTTTTATTATTTCTTTTTTATTTCTTCCACTATTTGAGCACACTACAATTTGTTTATACATTGTACTGTTGCTGGACATTTGTGTGGTTTCCAATTTTGACTAATACAAAAAACATCTTTTAAAACATTCTTGTACATATTTTTTGATGGACATTACATTCATTTCTGATGATGTACACCAGGAGGGTAACTTTTCAATCCTAAAGTAGATGTACATCTAATTTGATAAGAAACTGTAAAACATTCTTCAGATATGGTTGTATCAATTTAAATACCACCATTGTTGTAACAGAGTTTATATTGCTCCATATTCTCCTCAATATGTACCTTTAAAAAGAAAAATAATTTAGTCACTCTGCTGGGTATGAATTGTGGTTAATTTGCATATCCCTGATGCTGAACATTTTGTATGTTTATTGGCTATTTGAAAATCTTTTTCATGAAATGTTCATTCAGTTGCTGAGTCACTTGCATTTTCTTACTGACTTATAGGAATCTCATATATGATATAAACAACTTCATTTTATATATATATGTTACAATTATGTAATATTATCTCCAGCTGACCTTTTTATTTTCTTGGTGATATCATTTAGTAAACAGAAGTTATTAAATTTTGAAGCCCCGTGTGA